AACTCTGTAGCTAAATTTTAACTAGATGAACAAACTTTTCATCTACATGAAAACTTTTTGAACTAGAATCAACTCCAATCTCGCTCTTTGTCCTGGTCTTTGATTCACTTCCAGATTCCGGTAAATTTCTCTAATCAAAAGTAACAAAATAAAGGTTTTGAGGTCTCTGGGCGGCCAAAAGTCTAAAGAACAGCCTTTGGATCCGCTTGTGCCTGAGTTTTTATTTTAGATCCGAATTATGACAGTTGCATAGTCAACGGACCAAAATAAATAGCGACGTGCACTAGTGTATTTGCTGCGACCGTGCTTTTGTGCAACCTGTCCAGCTAACGCTTGTGCAACTCCGTCCAGGGGGGCCTTGTTGTTAAAAATGTCCGCTGCATTATTGTTTTATAATACAGAAATTTTTGAGGTTCCCGAGTTATTAGCTTTAACGCCAAAACTTTCCCTTGTTTGTATATAAGACCTAGGCGCGCATGGGGCCTGACCTATTACACGGGCAGGAGCATTTTTTTGGGATATAAGCTACCAAGCTTTCATGGTTACCGAGTTAGTAGTTTTGGCGCCAAAATTACACGCCTCCCTATTTGAGATCCAGGCATGCGCGAAGGAAGCTGAATTTGAGTTTGTGGGGTCATATGCGGTCAGGGGACATTCTCCTAAGACTTCCTGGCTCCCGAGTTTATGATTTTTGCAACAATACTTTTACGTGTCTGTATATGAGACCTAGGTGCGCGTGAGGACTGAATTTAACTTTATGGGGTTAAACGTGGGCAAGGAGCATTGCGATAAGATGTTAGCTTCTTAGCTTTTGTGCTTCTCGAGTTACTAATTTAAGAGCCAAAACTTTCACGTGTTCGCATGTGAGAACTAGTCGCAGTGGGGATGCTGAATTTGAGCTTGTGAGATCGTACACGGGTAGTGAGTCCTCCCTTAAAATATTAGTTTCTTATTACGCGTTTTTGTTGTGCAGCGCTATAGCAGCGCTATAGCGCTGCTACAGCCTGCAAAAACGCATATTGTCGAGAGGCTGTCTGTGTGTGTGTGTGTG